GAAATTCTTTTTAGGTTGGAACACTGTTATGTTCTTTCTTATATTCCTTCGGAAGAATATTATTATACAAAAATGGTATGTATTTAATATCCATAAATTGCTGTTTAATCGTAACGTAAAATAATTAGAATATAATAAATTATGAAACCGTAATATTCATCTACTTAGATTTTTCATATATTATATAAAACATGTATTTAGATTATAAAGTAATTTTAAACACAGTATTAGGTCTGAAGAAATGTGTTCAAACAACGTTAACATTATTGACTTTAAATGTCAATTAAAAGTGTTATTTTATGTTTTATTAAGACTAAATTTAAATTATTCCAGTATTTTTTTCATTCATTAGAAGATATTATATCTCTAATATTAAAGAATCTTATCTAGGTACCATGTACACATAACATAACCTAATAAAGATATTTGAATCTTTTATTACAGACGGAAGCCACGATCCGGACACGAAAATTTATGACAAACCGGCTATTATGCCGGAAACAAATGGTAAGTTTTACAGAAGTAAATATCATTATTTTAAGACATAAATCTGTTATTCAATTATACGACCAATATACTTATATTACAGGTAGTTGATGTCCATCATCCTGGACAAGCTTCTGTACGAAAAACTGAGATACGAGAAAAGTTAGCAAAAATGTATAAAGTAACACCAGATGTTGTATTTGTTTTTGGATTTTTAACACACTTTGGTGGAGGTAAATCCACTGGATTTGCTTTAATATATGACACCTTAGATTTCGCTAAAAAGTTCGAACCAAAACATAGGCTAGCAAGGCACGGCCTTTATGAAAAGCAAAAGCTAACCCGAAAACAACGAAAAGAACGTAAAAATAGAATGAAGAAAGTTCGGGGTACTAAAAAAAGTAAAGTAGGAGCAGCTTCTAAGAAGGTAAGAAATAGGCAAAATATTTGATCTCAAATTAATATGAAATAAATTATTTTAAACAATAAATGTGTTTAAGGAGAAATCATCTGTTACTGCATGTACTTATTTATATTATACAATGGCAATGAGCTTAGCAATTATTTCTTTTCTAAATTTAAAAACTAAAATTTTTCTTTCTAATATCATTCAAGAACAACAACATCAAAAATATCACAGAGATATATAATTCTTTAGTTAAGCTATATTATTTTAAATTGATATAATAAATAGCAATGATTGTCTTTTATTTAGTCACTTATTCTCTTTTGTGCATGCTACTACGGTGGAATACGATTTTTATTTACTTTCTAGGGGAGGAAGTAGACAAATGCTCCTAAATTTGCTCTACAAACCTCAAGAAGAAATAGCCTCTTATTCTGATGTTTATATATGGTCAGCATGTAACTTCAAATATTATTGTGTTTCATTAGATTATAGATTCTATTTGTATTGAATTTAGTTTGAAGTACATACTTTTGATTGCTGTATTATAACACAATTTTTTAGCACATCAGATAACTATTAGATAACTAAATGTGTGGAATATATTCTTTATTCTAAAAGCAAAGATAAAAGAATGTATTTTCAATTTTATTAATAACTATTGATTGTTTTATTTACTTGCTAACACACTTAGACAATTTAGATGTTGAAAAGTATTATAATAATTCTATTGAAAAATAATACAAATTTCCTAATTAAAAAAAGTCATGCTGACTTGACTTTAACTGCATGCATTTTTTTTCCTTTATTACATAAAATAAAGAAATAATTATTTTTCCTAACTTTGCTTGGCTTGGCTTTAACAAGACACGATGATTTTAAATGCAATAATTTAATTGCTAGTTCTGAACTGCTTTTCCCAATATAATCTTTGAATGCTTAATTTTAATACAATTATTTATCTTTYAGTGAATCCATTACCACCATCATGAAGGCCACAATAATACCGGTAACATCGTCGTAAAAATTGTTTTAGTACATTTGAACATCAATATTAACATGGTAACACTTAAGAACGAATTTACGAAATAAAATTGTGAACTTCCTCATTAAAAAGATTATTTTTCATGTATTTTTTTTTTATTTATATATATACATATAATTGATTATTTAAAATATAATAAGAAAATAAGAACCGATTAATGTATATGCTATCAATTTTGCAARTATTTTATTAAGGAAATATAACTTCAACAGAAGCTGCTGAGTTACCTGCTGATTCAGTATCATTGTCTTCCATTTGTACTAGAGATATTTCAGTGGAAGTGCTTTCAATTATGTCACTTTC